CCCACCCACAGGATCGACCCAAGGGGATCGACCTGCTCTGATAGCATGTGAAAAAATAGTAGGGAGAAGTAGGAGCCAAAGCTAGGAAAGCCCTAGCTAGGCAAGAAATAGTTTAGGTAAAGAGGGGGTTCACTAGCAGGAATGAGGATACAAATAGCAAACCCTAGAAGGGTTGTACTCGCTATAGAGCACCCCACTACAGGCTAGAGCATAACATTCTGACAATGGCACCACATTGTTTTGAGAGCTTCCTGGTATCACTAATGACTCAGTGGTGTGAAGAAACTTTGCAAAATAAACAAAGCAGCGTTGAAACGACATCATGCGTTGTCGAGGTTTGCACTCACATAATTTCACCTTTTTCAATGTTCAAAGCAGCGTCTCGTTCCCATGTCGTGCGAATGGCACCACATTGTGTTGAGAGCTTCCTAATATCACAAACCACTCAGTGGTGTGAAGAAAACTTGCAAAACAAAACAACACAGCGTTGAAATGGCATCATGTGCAGTCCATGTACACTGTCCATGTCCACGCTCGACCAGCTCCCAAGTGCCCATGGCGATGAGGCTGTTGATCTCCTCGTCCATGGCGGCCTTCACTGCCTTGCCCTTCCAGCTCGTCAATGCCTCCTTCACCGTCATCGTCGCAATTACCTTGTGGTGCTCTAGATCGGCGTGCACGTTAGGGTCGAGCTCGGGCAGGTCGGCGTCGGCCTGCGCATCGTCGAGCAACGTGCTATAGGAGGTCGGCGGCAGGCAAGCGTGGTAGCACGCCATCCGCATCTTGGCCAGAAGTCGTCGAGCAAGATTACAGTAGTCCGTCGCTGACTCCTGCTCGCCCATTCGGAGGTGTGTCAGCTGCTTCTCCTTCTGGCTGATGCACAAGTCGTCCGTCGCCTGGTAGGTCGACACGATGAACTACCACGCCTGGTGGCCTGCGTCCAGTCGAAGTTGACACGTCTTCAGCGCAATCTGCAGCATCGGCGAGCAGCACCTCGAGATGACCATGAAAGTGAGTAGATGAGTAGCACGAAACACCCCGCGCAGCTCGACAACGCCCTCGTGAGGAATCGGCACGATGCCGTCGGCGAAACCCTTCAGTCCGGCAATCTCCAGCTGAGGCTCAATAGCCTCCTTCCATGTGATTAGGTCCCGTCGACCTTGCAGCGGCACTGGCACGGCAATCTTGTCCAGCGAGAATTTAAAGTAGCCATACGCCGGAGCGATTCCGCCCGCCGTCGCATGCGTCGACGACGTTGGCCTCCCATTGCTTCGCAACGGTGAATGACGTCGACCCTTGACGTCCACACGCGAGCTGCTAGCGGCAGCCGTCGACCGCTGCACTCGCGCCTGATTCCTGCCGACGCCACCGTCGAAGGACCTCATCACTCCTATCTTCCTCGTGCCCTCGCTGCCGCCGACTGGTTCAGTGTCGTAGACCTCCACGTCGACGACGTCGTCGTTCCGCAACGGTCGAGGAGAGGGGAACGAACCGTCCGCTCCAGATTGGGGAGGGTGTTCCGCCACCCACTTCGCGCGGATCCCCAGGAGAATCACCTCCAAGGGGAGCACCGTCCGGAAATCGCCATCTCCATGGCGCATCGTCGCACTAGCTAGACGTGCTTCTAGCGTATCCTCTACTCGACCGGCCTCTGCCAGGGTAGGCGTCACAGTTCGCACGGGCTGCTGACCTACAAATGACGTAGGTAAGTGTTACGCCGGCTACTAATTTGAAGGTATCTGCGAGGTCGTTACACGCTCACCGCACCATGTGGAGATAAACTCTACAACGGTGGGAGCTAGACTATGGGGTTGACACTGGTTGTAAGAGTGATCGTAGCTCTGTTTGTGTTCTCTAGGACTTGTGTGTCCACAGAGCGAAACAGCAAGAGTATCACTATAAAAGTTGAGAATACAGAGTTCAAAATGAACAAGCAATGGCAAAGATTGACTACATCAGATGCAGGTCTTGTTAGTGCACATGCAGGTCGACCGCCAGCACGACAAAGTCGTCGACCTGCCAATGTAGCAAGTCAACGGCCCGCCAACGCAGCTCATGTACGGCTTGCCAACGCTGCAGAATGGCATCCTGCCAACGATGCACATGCGCAACTTGCCAACACAGCATTCGCGCGGCTTGCCAACGTTGCATCCGCAGGTGATTGGAAGCGCATGTGTAAGCACCTACTTCGTAGGTGCTTGTAGACAGTTACGCACGTCGTGCACTGTCGCGGACATTGCGCGGGTCGTCATCCAAATGCCGACGATTGCATCTGACGAGCCATGTTGACCACGTTGTTGAAATGTATTTGTATACTTTCATATAAATGCCTACAGTAGCCTAGTGTAGTTATCTTAGTTTCCTGCTAGGTGGTGTACCATTTGCCTTTCTTCATTCTTGCCTATTTGTACCCTTGAACCTATAGTGAAACCCCCTCATTCTCTCGATACTTTTCACTTCAACTCGAACTCAACCAAGGCTCCTAAGCCTAACTCTCACTAGTATTTTGACACACGTGCTGCCACGTCGGTCTACTTTGTCACAAGAACCTCGACGACGTTCGCGCACCTCCACAGAACCTCGTCGAGCAGGTAACTTGGTTGACAGAGTAAAGTCCCTAGCAACCCTGCAGGACGATGACCTTCGTCGTCATTGGTCGACGACCTTCGTCGTCATTGGTCGACGACCTTCGTCGTCGTGGGTCGACGACCTTCGTCGTCGTGGATTGACGACCTTTGTCGACCACCTTCTAGCTGAAATTCTCTTGTGCATTCGCATGGGTGCGCAGGATCAGACGCGACACTGCGCAGACGAACACCCGCGAACCTTTGCACCAGCTGCGCCACTTGCATATGTGCACGAGACGTTTTCGTTGCACTGACGGGTGCTTCAGTTACTCTTCCATGGGTTCCCTTCTACACATGATGCTCGCAAGGTCGTATCGAAACTTCCGTGATGATGCTGCCGAACGAATCCCGAGCCGCGAACCCAGAGAAGCCACGTGCAGGTAGTTTCGAAAAGTAACTCGATCGCAAGCCCTAAAAAACATCCCACCCCGACCTCACATTTTGGGATGTTCTGGCTTATCCGCTCTACCCCTAGAGTTCACTGTATGCTAGGCTGCCTTCGCTAGTCCAGCGCCTACTTAACATAGCAGATGTGATGTGATTCCTAGGTTACCAGCTTTTGGTTTGTGCGCTTAGGGAGCGTTCAGTGCTTGCTTGGCCGCAGAGGTATCGAGGCTGAGGGAGGACAGTTAGCATTGTACTGTAACACGGAACTCGATCCCATATTGACCGACGTGTCAGGTCTCGAAAGTACCTCCGAAGCAGGTTCAAAGAGGTTTGGTACGATCTAGAGATCTATAGATCGTGTCCGTAGTTTTGATATGTCAAGTTTATGCGTGTCAACCCGAAGCGCGAGTGTTTTTGCGTAGCTTTGGTGTCAGCTCGAAGCACTTGTACAAAGATCCACGCCGCAAGATCATTCGCTGGGAGTTACTCGCATATGCAAACGATTCGTGCACGCCCGTTCCTAGGTTTCAAGTAGGAAGCGGTGTGTTTTGATTGGCCATTGGGAGACCATCCGGCAAGTTTCTGCGACGATCCTGGCTGGTTCGTAGGTATTGACTGAGTCAGAGCTGAAAGTATCCGACGAATTTTACTGGCTATCAAGGCTGCGAAAAATGACACGCTGCCAACAATGTTGGTGAGTGTCAAAAGAGCAACTTGACACAAGTGATTTTGACATGTCAAAACTACGGATGAGCCCTTAAACATTTCAAGTCTTGGGTGGTGTATTTTCTCAAGAACGTACACGTCCTTTCGTGACGGGACCCGCCCTCACGGGCTCCCCGCCAATTTCGGAATTCGATGATGCGGATTGGTCTCCTCCTCCCCACTTAGGAATTGGGTTCTGCTTGCGTTGCGAGAGGCCCACTTAGGCAGGGAGGGAATGCTGAAAGGAGTGGCTCACGATTTCCGAACTGAACATGATGCGTACAGGCGGAGACATAACACATGCCAACCACAAGTGGAGAATCTATACACTGTATCCAACGCGGTGGATAAGGGAAGGAAAGATAGACTGGAACTGGAGTGGGATTGCGCAGACTGCCATGACGTGGTTTTTCTACCCAATGACAGAGCCGGATTCGAGCCACGTCAAACGAGCCGAACAATAAGTTGCCTAGATTGGTCGGAGAGCAGCCTGAAGAATTGTTCGAAGTAATTGGGTTGCGTAGCAACCTTATACATTCGTTTTCACTTTTCGGTTGGCTGATGTGAACAGTGAATTTCTCTTATAAATTTTGAAAGAAATCACTGTTCACATAGCTTCCCCAAAAATGTGAAAAAAAATGTTTCCAATCATTCCATAATCGTATGTACGACGAATGGAATGTATAATCATAATCATAATCATCAATTTTGAAGGGGAGAGTAAATGCATCAATGCAAAAACTGAGATTGATATGGTACGGAAGAGGCTAGCAAAGCTGCCCCACCGACGATCACAATCCGAGTTGCATTCACGAGGCACTTAGCACCACACCATGAAGCACGCACAACACACGTATGCACATGTACGCACTCACACACATACACGCTCACACATATACAGATACACACAACGCAAAAACATATAGCTATTGTAATAAGCATGCAAGCATAATGAATGAATTTCAGCCTTGTATAAATTAATTATCTCTATCTTGTCCCCCGTTCCCCTCCCTCCCTCCCTCCCTCCCTCATTTCCCTCATCTCCCTTCTCCCCATCTCTTTTCTCCGCAAGAAACAAAGGCTGCAGCTTGGACTCCTTTCACAGGAAAGGAAAATCAGCGAATGCAACACACTCCCTGCACAAACAAGAACAAAACCAGAGAATACAACTTGCATTAGTTGCACAAGAAAACAAAATCAGAAAATGCAGCTGAAAAACAAAGTAAGCGCAACCGAAATTCACACGCAAACTCCCACGTTCTCTCACGCGCTCCCACGCTCTCAGCAAGGAGCGGCGACGGCGGGGAGGAGGGAGAGGCAACCGCGTGGAGGGAGAGGGGACGGCGGGGAGGAGGGAGAGGCGACGGCGGGGAGGAGGGAGAGGCGACGGCGGGGAGGAGGGAGAGGCGACGGCGGGGAGGAGGGAGAGGCGACGGCGGGGAGGAGGGAGAGGCGACGGCGGGGAGGGGGGAGAGGCGACGGCGGGGAGGAGGGAGAGGCGACGGCGGTGAGGAGGGAGAGGCGACGGCGGGGAGGGGGGAGAGGCGACGGCGGGGAGGAGGGAGAGGCGACGGCGGGGAGGAGGGAGAGGCGACGGCGGGGAGGAGGGAGAGGCGACGGCGGGGAGGAGGGAGAGGCGACGGCGGGGAGGGGGGAGAGGCGACGGCGGGGAGGAGGGAGAGGCGACGGCGGGGAGGAGGGAGAGGCGACGGTGGGGAGGAAGGAGAGGCGACGGCGGGGAGGATGGAGCGGCGACGGCGGGGAGGATGGAGAGGCGACGGCGGGGAGGAGGGAGAGGCGACGGCGGGGAGGAGGGAGAGGCGACGGCGGGGAGGAGGGAGAGGCGACGGCGGGGAGGAGGGAGAGGCGACGGCGGGGAGGAGGGAGAGGCGACGGCGGGGAGGAGGGAGAGGCGACGGCGGGGAGGAGGGAGAGGCGACGGCGGGGAGGAGGGAGAGGCGACGGCGGGGAGGAGGGAGAGGCGACGGCGGGGAGGAGGGAGAGGCGACGGCGGGGAGGAGGGAGAGGCGACGGCGGGGAGGAGGGAGAGGCGACGGCGGGGAGGAGGGAGAGGCGACATCGGGGAGGAGGGAGAGGCGACGGAGGGGAGGTAAGGAAGAGGAGATTGCGGGGTGGGGCTGAGTGACTGTGAGGTGAATAGGAGAGGTGAAGGTGGGTAGTGAGGGAGAGGATACGGCGGGATAGGAGCAAGAGCGACGGCTGGGTGGGAGAACTGGCGAGAAATTGGGGTGGGGGGAAGGAAGAGGAATAAGAGCAGAGCAGGTGTGCTTGTCGAGTCGAGAGGAACCAGAAAACAAGAACCAAGAAAAGAGCGCAGAAATTGAGTCGGTTGCTGTGAAAGGGACGGATGCCAGCGCAGAGATGAAATTTCTACCAGCGCAGAACAAGACAATTTCTGCCACCGCAGAACGATACAATTTCTGCCAGTGCAGAACGAAGCACCATATACAGTATACCGTTTGTCAGAACTTATAGCTTATGCTTTTCTGTAGGCTATAGTGGGGTATCCCATAGGGGGTACAACCCAATTAGGGTTGGTACTTGTACTCACCCATTTCATAGTTCATTCATTCCTGTTCTTTAAACTTCACATGGTATAGAGCAGGTTCCCCTGTGGGAACTTCGCCTAGGGCCCACCACACGATTTTTTTTTTCCTGCCCGAAGCGCACTTGTTCCGAGTCGCGCCTCGGGCCTCTCTCTCACCGAGCCGCCCTAGCGGCTGATCCTTCGATCGCGGCCCCGCCGCCCTTCCCTCTTGCGGCCCCGCCGCCCTTCACTCTTGCGGCCCCGCTGCCCTTACCTCGTGGCCCGCCGCCCCTTGATCGCGGCCCCGCCGCCCCTGTGATCGCGGCCCCGCCGCCCCTTTCTAGCGGCCCCGCCGCCCTTTCCTCGCGGCCCCGCCGCCCTTTCCTCGCGGCCCCGCCACCCCGTCGAGCGGCCCCGCCGCCCTTCCTCACGGCCCCGCTCCTCCGCCGAGCGGCCCTGCTGTCGACCTACCTGCGGCCCTACCGCCGCCCAACCTGCGGCCCTACCGCCGCCCTACCTGCGGCCCACCAGCCGCCTTACCTGCGGCCCACCCGCCGCCCTACCCGCGGCCCTACCGCCGCCCTACCTGCGGCCCTTCGCCGCCCTACCTGCGGCCCTTCGCCGCCCCACCTGCGGCCCACCCGCCGCCCTACCCGCGGCCCTACCGCCGCCCTACCTGCGGCCCCTTCGCCGCCCTACCTGCGGCCCACCCGCCGCCCCACCTGCGGCCCACCCGCCGCCCTACCTGCGGCCCTACCTGCCGCCCCACCTGCGGCCCACCCGCCGCCCTACCTGCGGCCCGCTCGCCGCCCTACCAGCGGCCCAGCCGCCCTACCTACGCGGCCCAGCACCGGCCGAGCCGCCCAGCAGCAGCCGAGCCGCCCAGCAGCAGCCGAGCCGCCCAGCAGCAGCCGAGCCGCCCAGCAGCAGCTGAGCCGCCCAGCAGCAGCCGAGCCGCCCAGCATCAGCCGAGCCGCCCAGGAGCAGCCGAGCCGCCCAGGAGCCGCCGAGCCGCCCAGGAGCCGCCGAGCCGCCCGACAGCAACCGAGCCGCCCAGCTGCAGCCGAGCCGCCCAGGAGCCGCCGAGCCGCCCTGCTACCGGACCGCCCGACCTGTCCTGTCTGGTGAGCACGGCACCGCCCCACTGCTACTGCGTCCCCTTCCCCACTGCTTGCACTGCTAGTCTGTCGTCATGGCTACCCCCAGTGTCCTTGCTTTTGACGCTGAGGGTCGAGCCATTGACTTTGAGGTCTGGGTCGACGACCTGCAGTTGTTTTTACAGTGCGATAGAGCGGACGGTCTTTCTCTTTTTGACCTCACCTCTGGCGCCTCCCCTGCCCCTGCGGCTGATGCTGACCCCACTGTTCGCTCTCAGTGGGCCACCCGCGATGCTGCTGCACGTCTTGCTGTGCGTCGCCACTTGCCCACCTCTGAGCGCGCGCACTTTAGTCAGTACAAGAGTGCTCAGACCTTGTACGACGCTGTAGTTGCGCGCTACTCTTCCCCTGCCACTGCTGCACTGAGCCGTCTCATGCTACCGTACCTCTTTCCTGATCTCACTGCCTTTCCTACTGTCGCTGATCTCATTACGCACCTCCGCACTAGTGACACTCGCTACCGCGCCACCCTTCCTGCTGAGTTCTGCGCCAAGAACCCCCCCCCCATGTACATCGCTCTCTATTACATAGTCAGTCGTCTCCCTGACTCCCTTCGCGTAGTCAGGGACCACTTCCTCTCAGTGTGTCCCACCACCCTCACTGTCGACCTCCTCAAGAAGGCCCTCCTAGCGGCGGAGAAGAGTATAGTCGCTGTAGGAGCCTCTCGTGGAGACCCGCGCACCCCCATCTTTGAGGGGTGTTCTGTGAAAAAGCTAGTGAGCGTTAGGCTTAGGAGCCATGGTTGAGTTCGAGTGAGTTGAGTTAGGAGAGTCGAGAAAGTTGAAAAGAGAAGGAAGGGGTTTCACTATAGAGCGAGCAGTACATATAGGCAAGAGGAAAGGTGCACCACCAAACAGAATATTGTATAACTACAGTAGTCTACACTATAGGTAGTTACAAAACAATATATAAAATTATATATTATTCTGACATGTTCTCCTTCCCCCCTGCTGCCCTCTGTTGCCTCTGCTGCTGCTGCCGACCTGCTTGGTCTTGAGTCGGTCGGCGCGGCGTCTGCCCCTAGCGGGAGACGCCGCCCTGGCAAGGGCAAGGGGGGCAAGGGCGCGGGTGGAGCTGGCGGGGGCGGTGGAGGTGGCGGTGGAGGCGGCGGAGGGAGTGGGGGTGGCGGTGGGAGTGGTGGCGGGAGTGGTGGCGGTAGTGGCGGCAGCGGCGGCGGAGGCGGTGGCGGCGGAGGCGGTGGGAGCGGAGGTGGTGGTGGTGGCGGAGGTGGAGGAGGTGGTGGCGGAGGAGGTGGAGCTGGTCGGGGTAGTGCCCCGCAGCGGAGCGGCTCTGGTGGTGGTCCGCGGCAGCAGCAGCAGCAGCAGCAGCGTCCTCGGGACATCCCCCCGCCTCAGCAGCTCCGTGAGTGGTACGCGCAGAGTCAGCGAGGTGGAGGTTTTGGCCCGTGCGCCTACGTTCTTCGCAGTGGCGACCGCGCGGGTGAGCAGTGTGGGGGTGCCCACGCCACCCGGCGCTGCTTTGGCCGCCTGACGGACGCTTGGCGTCAGCAGTTCCCTGACGCCTCTGAGATCCCCCGCTGGGGAGACCTTTCTAGAGCCGGTGTAGCGATCTTTGAGCTAGACTTTGATGCTATCCTTGCTGCCATGTATGCTGTGTCTATTGGTGATGAGGGTGACTGTTACCGGTGTTTCCCGCCCGACCCGGGCATTGGTACGGCGGCGCTAGGTGCCTGTGACACTGCTCCGCTCTCAGGTGCTGGTGAGGCTGCGCTCTCAGGTACTAGTGAGGCTGCGCTCTCAGGTACTCGTGAGGCTGCGCTCTCAGGTACTGGTGAGGCTGCGCTCTCAGGTACCGCGTCGGCTTCGGCCTCCCTCACCTTTACACTTGACTCTGGGGCTTCTCGCTCCTTCTTTCGGGACCGCACCACACTCACGCCGCTTGGCCGGCCGGTTGCGGTCTCCCTGGCTGACCCCTCTGGGGGTCCTGTCCTCTCTCACTTCTCCACTGTTCTACCGTGTCCAGCTGCCCCCTCGGGCGCCCTGTCAGGCCTGTACCTCCCCTCGTTCTCGACGAACTTGGTGAGTGGTGCTGCCCTACAGGATGCGGGGGTTCACCAGTTTACTCATGCGAGTCAGCGGGTGACCCACTGCACGGACGCGCGCACAGGTCGGCACCTAGCCACGTTCTCCCGTCGGCCGGGGTCGAGCCTCTACACCCTGACCACTGAGTCTCCTCCTGTCCCTGTGTCTGGCCAGGTAGCTGCGTCGGGTCAGGTGTTTGCTGCTGCGTCCAGGTCTGGTCCTGAGTTTGCCCCCTGCTCGTGTCGCCTGCTGTCTCACGAGACTCTCCTGTGGCACCACGGCTTGGCCACCCCTCCTTGCCCCGTCTCAGGGACATGGCTTCCCGGGTCCTTGTCTCTGGTCTTCCCCAGGTCTCTCCCTCCCCTTCCTTCGGGGCCAGGACCTTCCTGTGTCCCTTGTGTCGAGGGGCGCCTCCGGGCTGCCCCCCACTCCTCACAGTTTCCTCCGAAAGAGGCTCCTCTGCAGATGCTTCACATGGACGTGTGGGGCCCGGCCCGCGTCCGTGGACAGGGTCACGAGCGCTACTTCCTGCTGGTGGTTGACGACTACTCGCGTTTCACCACACTCTTCCACTTGCGCAGCAAGGGTGATGTCACTCGCGTTTCACCACACTCTTCCACTTGCGCAGCAAAGGTGTTGATCGACTGGATCCGCGCAGCTCGTCTCCAGCTCAGGCGGAGCTTCGGCTCGGACTTTCCTGTTCTGCGTCTCCACTCTGACCGAGGCGGAGAGTTTTCCTCTGGCCTTCTGCGAGCCTACTGTCGTGCACAGGGCATCCGCCCGACCTTTACGCTTCCAGACTCTCCACAGCAAAATGGGATTGCTGAGCGCCGCATTGGCATGGTCATGGACGTCGCTCGTACGTCCATGATGCATGCGGCTGCCCCCCATTTTCTGTGGCCGTTTGCGGTACGGTACGCGGCGCATCAGATCAACCTTCACCCCGGGGTTTCCCGGCCCGGGAAGGTCCGTACCTCCCCGGCCCTCCTGTGGACTGGGAAGGTTGGCGATGCGTCTGCGTTCCGTGTCTGGGGATCTCGGGCGTTTGTCCGCGACTTGTCTGCGGACAAGCTATCCCCCCGTGCTGCTCCCTGTGTCTTCTTTGGCTTCCCCCCTGACGCTCCAGGGTGGCAGTTCTACCACCCCTCCTCTCGTCGTGTTCTGTCCTCCCAGGACGTCACGTTCGACGAGTCAGTCCCCTTCTACCGCCTCTTCCCCTACCGCACTCCTTCCCTCCCCCCGCCCCCGGACTTCCTTGTGCCAGGTCCCCCCCCAGTAGACCCCCTCCCCCCTCCGGTTCCTGCCCCTTCAGGTGTGTCCCAGGTAGACGCCGTCGAGCCGGTCAAGGTTGATGGTGACTCTGGTCCTGCTGCGGGTGCTGAGCCTGGGGGTGCTGACTCTGGGGGTGCTGTGCGTGTGGGTGCTGAGCCTGGGGGTGACGAGCCTGGGGGTGGTGAGCCTGGGGGTGCTGTGCGCGTGGGTGCTGAGCCTGGGGGTGACGAGCCTGAGGTTGCTGAGTCTGGGGGTGCTGCGCCAGAGGGTGTTGAGCCTGGAGGTGCTGCGTCTGGAGCTGCTGAGCCGGGAGGTGCGGAGCCTACGGCCACTGGACCTCCCCTTGTGGCGTCTGGCGGTGCTGGGCCTGGAGGTTCTCCGGGTGCTCAGTCTTGGCGGGAGCCCCTCTCTCCACAGGAGCTGCGCGAGTGGTTTGCTCGCCGCTGGAGACGTACTGCTGGAGCTGGAGCTTCTTCGGCCGCTGAGGGTGCTTGGTGCTGCCGGTCCTGGAGCTGCTGGGCCTTCGGGTCCTACTGGAGCTGGAGCTGCTGAGGGTGTTGGTGCTGAGA